CCCCAAAACCCCAAAACCCCAAAACCCCGAACGAAGAATATGACAATGAAATATAAGTAATCAAAATTCTAATCAATTATTTTTAATAATAAATCAACCAATTCTCATAATTTGCCTTCATTATAAAGCTAATCAATATCATTCTAATACTTCGCCTCAATAACTTTACGCTTCATTTTTAGACTAGGTGTAAGTTCACCACCACAGATAGAAAAGTCATCAGGAACTATAATCCATTTTCTTATGTGCTGGGCTCTTGAAATAGCCTTTGAGTTAGTGACATCAATACAATCCTGAATATATTTCTTAATATCTGGATTATTGATAGCATCTTCAATAGTTTTTAAATTTTCCCCATTTTTTACTAGGTTTCTAATATGAATTTTGCACTCCTCCGAAAGAATATGTGATGGTTTGTTGTTTTTAATATCAACAACACATTTTAGAGTAATAATAGCAGAGAGGAACTTTCTATCATCCCCTACTACCATAATATTAGCACACATTGGACATTACTCTTGGAAAACATGTTCAATTTGTATTGGTGCAATATTCTCACCACCAGCAGTTATAATCAGTTCTTTGATTCTACCTGTAATCTCAAGGAATCCATCATGAAGTGATCCAAGATCTCCTGAATGTATATACCCTTAATCATCATACATATCCTAAGTTGCCTAAGCATTTTTATAATACCCTAAAAACATGCACCTCCCTTTCATACATATTTCACCTATACCCTTTTCATCAGGCTTATCAATTTTGAACTTGATCCCTTTAATGGGCTCCCCGCAAGTAAACATTTTAAGCCTTGACCAGCTCCATGTTGTCACAGCTCCTGATGATTCTGTCATTCCAAAGATTGATAAAGGTGGCATGTCTAGTGATCCGAAATATTCCTGAGTCCTCTTGTTCATTGGGGCCGCAGCAAAAGCGTATATTCTGGCTTAATCCAATCCCATTGCAGATTTAATTCTATTCAATATTACATGCTTAGCAATAAAGTATTGAATGCTAGGATCTTCTGGTTTGGTTTCCCCCTCTCTTAGATGTGTTTGTAGTGATTTGTAATGTCTGTATGCTTTATCCTTAGCCCATCCAGATAATGATTAGGCAAAAGAGCCACTCTTGTCTCCAATTTCCTTTAACTTTTCCTCAAATTTTTCCCAAACTCTAGGGACTGCAAAAAATAATGTAGGCCGCACATCTTTCAAAGTTTCTACCAAGCTTCCTTAAAGGGCATCAGGTTTAGCAAAGATTAATGCTGAATGGCCTATCATGGGAAGTAATAAATCAGTACATTAGGCTGCTGAATGAGAAAGAGGTAGGTAGCTTACTACTCTTTCTGAACCATCATCACTCCAACCAATTTCTGTCTGAAGCTATCTTAATGTCAAACTCATATTATAGAGCATATTATCATGGCTGAGCATAACACCCTTTGGGGGTCCAGTAGTTCCACTTGTATAAACTATGTTGCAACAGTTTCCTGGTCTTTGCTTCTCTACTCGAGTTAAAACAGCTTTTTTAAGCTTTTTCTTTTCATTATAATCTTCTGAAAGGCCTAGGAACTCAGCCCATCCAAGTATAATATTTTTCTTATCAGAATACTTTTCTCTTAACTTACTTGCGTCATCATCGTAAACGATGATTCCTCTGACGTTTGGCAATTTATCTATTATTGTAATATACTTTTTCAAATGCTCTTCATTTTCAACGACTAGAATTTCTGCCTCACTATGATCAGCTTAGTAAAAGCATGCCTCTTAGGTATTTGTAGTATATACACCTGAGACAATGCAATTTGCGAAGATGGTTCCAAAGAAAGCTATGGCCCATTCAGGTGCATTAAATCCAATTATATTCACCACTGCTCTCTCTTTTGTCCCTAACTTAATTAATGCAGCAGCAAAACTTGTCACTTCTTTATGATACTATTTCCAAGTCCATTCTATGTAACTCTCTTTGCTATCCTTGTGATTTTTCTTTCTCTTGACTTTCATAGACACAGCATGAGGAGTTTTCTTGACAACTTCTTTAAAAACTTCTGGAATAGTTTTTAGAGGGAAATTATCTCCTTCATGTATAATAATGGGCAGTTCTACGTTGGTATCATCTGTCCAATAGAGATTCTTTCCTTAATGAATATTAAAGTTCTTAACCATTGCTTCCTTAGAGAGAATAATATGTTCTTTCTAAGCTAGTTTATATGTCTCGTTAGATTTATTGACTTTGCTCATTTTATAAATTTAAAATATCTTGCAAAGATCACTTATAAATATATTTAATTCCAAAGTATGAATCATTTCCATCACATTCCTAAACAGCTTTAGTTGAATGGGGTTTTGGGGTTTTGGGG